AATGTGGACAAAGAATTTAAATAGACATTTCTAAAAAGAAGAGGTACAAATGGCCAACAAATATATGGAAAAGTACTCAACATCACTGACAGCAGGAAAATGGAAATAAAATTCCAAATGAGATATCGTCTCACCACAGTTAGAACGGCTACTATATTATTTAAAAAAAAGAAAAAAGTAAAAAATCCTGATGAGGTTGGAGAGAAAAAGAAAACTCTTATGCACTCATGGAGGGAATGTAAACGAGTACAGCCATTATGGAAAACTGTGGAAGTTTCTTAAAAAACTAAAAATAGAAGTGTCATATGATCCAATAATCCCACTACTATTTATCCAAAAGAAAGAAATTCAGTACATCAAAGGGATACCAGGATCCCCATGTTTATTGCAGCACTGTTCACAATAACCAAAATACAGAATCAACCTAAATGTTCCATCAATAGATGATTGTGGTTGATGAGTAAAGAAAATGTGATATATGTACACGGTGGAATACTATTTAGCCATAAAAAGAATAAAATCATGCAATTTACAGCAACATGGATGAAAACATTGTGACATTAAGTGAAATAATTCAGGCACAGAAAAATAACTACTGTGTGTTCTCACTCATGTGGAAGCTAAAATTAAAAAAAAAAGTTTTTGGAAGTAGAGAGTAGAATTGTGGGTAACAGAGGCTGAGAAAGGTAAGGGGGAGTAGAAGATGGGGAGAGGTTGTTTAATGGATACAAAATGATAGCTAGATAGGGGGAATGAATTCTAGTGTTCTGCATTGTAGGATGAATATGGTTAACTTTTCTCTTTTTTGTTTTTTTTTTTTTTTGAGACGGAGTCTCACTCTGTCACTCAAGCTGGAGTGCAGTAATGCAATCTCAGCTCACTGCAACATTTGCCTCTGGGGCTCAAGTCATTCTTCTGCCTCAGCCTCCCTAGTAGCTAGGATTACGGGTGCGCATCACCACACCTGGCTTGGTTAACTAATAGTTTTAAAAAGCTAGAGGACTGGATTTTCAAAGTTCACAGCACAAAGAAATGGTAAATGTTTGAGGTGATGGATATATCGATTAGTCTGATTTGACCATTATACATTGTTTACACATATCAAAATATCACTGTGTATACCATAAATATGTACAGTTATAAGAGTCCACAAAAAATAAAAGGAAGCCAGATGTGGTGTCACAGGCCTGTGATCTCAGCTACTTGGAAGACTGAGGCAGGAAGAATTCCTGAGCCATGGTGGTCAAGGCCAGCCTGGGCAACATAGCAAGACACCATGTCTAAAAAAAATACATAAATAAAAATAAAAGCAAAATCATTCACCCTATACATAGACTATGGGTGAAACTTAATGGCTTGCTTCTAATGAACAGAATGTGTTAAAAGGGATAACACCATGTAGCTTCCATAATTAGGTTAGAAGAGGCTCTCTGCCACAGACTGCTCGCCTTGAAACCTAGCCCCCATGTTATGAGGAAACGTAGCAACAAAGAGAGCCTAGGAGTTTCAGTGTAGAATGTTTGGGTATCCTGCCCCAAACTAAATTTCCAACCAATAGTCGCCGTAAGCAACAGACATCTTAGTGAACAAATCTTCAGATGATTCTAGTCCCTCAGCCTTTGATTTATCCCAAGTGAAGCTGAAGGGAGCAGAGGCAAGCTGTCCTGACCAAGGTTTTGGCAAACCACAGATTGGTGAACTAAACAAATGTTCTAAGCCACTCAAATTCGGGTAATTTGAGTGGAAAAAATAACCAGAGAAATAAATTTAAACAAGGAGACAATAAGCAATAGAGTAACAGACCCAGTAGAAATTAGTCTCCTTTAAAGTAAGAGCTAACAAATGTTAAGGTTAGTTTATTAATGACAACTCTAATGGGAAGCAGCAGAACTTTTCTAACTGTATGAATCAGAAAAGCCAATTTATATGATAAATATATGTAATTTATATGATAAACTTCCTCCTCAGTAGCTCTTATGTCTTTCTATGAGACATAAGAGAAAGACATAAGAACTACTGAGGAGGAAGTTTAGAAAAAGTTCCTATTGATTACAAATTCCGATGACTAAGCCAGTGAGGCTTTTAGAATTTGTCCCCCGAGTTATGAAATAAGGAAGATGAGGAAGGAAGGAGATATATAATTTGAAATATAAAGTTGAAAAAACTAGAAATATTTGACTAATAACCAAAAATCAGACATTGTACCTGATTTCAAGGAACTGAAATTCTCAAAGTGATAAGCAGCTTTGGATATTTATTCATCAATCTAGGATTCAATCTTCATTTTCATTTCCTCAATGAGGAAATTTAAAAAATTATGGAATCAGTTTTAACAATCTCAAAAGTAAAACAAATGTAGTGTCCTTTGAGTGTTAAGCTGTTCAAAGCAATTTCCCCTTTACCTCATTTGTATGGAGAAGGGAAGAACAGCTCATCTTTATGTTGTACCAAAATGCTTCTCCATATCATATAAATTGGCTCTGAAATTTTGAAATTCATACAACTAATTCGACTTTTTGTTTCTGATAAATGCATGGACATTACCTGATTTCCAGCTGCTGCACTCCTGGAAGTTGTTCTTTGAATAGGTTGAAGTATTTATTCAATGAATTATGTACTGAGCTAGAAAAGCATAGCTACGCATCTCCATTTAAGCAAAAGGAGGTAAATGCAGGGAACTCTGGTTTCTCAGAATGTAGGATCTGTGCCAAGAAGAGGATTCAGCCCTCGGGTTGTGTAAGAGAGCCAGGTGCTAGGTCAAAAGAGGATCTAACTGTGAACTGCAACATGATAAATTAGCTCAGTTTCCAATGAGGAAAGATGACAGCCCAGACTTAATCTTGAGCTTCATAGATAGTTCAAATCTACACATGACTCCATGACTTATAACGACCTAATAAAACATAATGCAACAAATAGTAGATGCAGTCAGCAGATCCTGTGGCCAAGATTTGATGGAAATGGGAGTGAAGAGAGAGGCACTGGGTGAGAGACAAAAGGTGTGACTGGAGAAAAAAAATTAATGGGATCTGTCTTTGTAAGCCTGACTCTCATCATGTCATGGAGTCAGCAAGGCATAAGCTGGCCATACACTCCTTCAAGAAGCAAAAAGTGAAATTAAAGACATTCTACTACTTGAATTTCTATTCTTACATAAGACAACTCGTAATAAGCAACAGGACTGAAAATGAATTCTCCATAAATGTGATTTGGTACTGGCTCAACATATTAAAATTGAGAATCCAAAAACAAACCTACATTTTTATGGTCAACTGATTTTCAACAAGAGTATAAAAAAAGTAAATGAAAAACGAATAGATATTTCAACAAATGGTGCTGGGACAACGTGCAAAAGAATGAAGGTGGATTTCCACCAAATGTCATATACAAAAGTAACAAAATAGAACCACTGAATGTAAGAACTAAAATTATAAAACTCCTAGGAGAACACGTAGCCATAGATCTTTGTGACTGCAGAAAAATACATTAACTGGACTTCATCAAAATGCGAAACTTCTGTGCTTGAACGGAGACCATTAAGAAAGTGAAAAGGAGGCTGCGCATGGTGCTCACACCTGTAATCCCAACATTTTGGGAGGCCAAGGTGGGAGGATTGCTTGAGCTCAGGAGTTCAAGATCAGCCTGGGCAGCATAGTGAGACCTTCTCTCTACAACTTAAAATTATATACATTTTAAAAACATAATAAATCATAAGAAAGAAAGTAAAAAGGAAAGCCATTGAAAATATTTGGAAACAATATATCTGATAAGGGACTTACACCTAGAGTATATAAAGAGCTCTTAAAATTCAGAAATTTAAGATAACCCAATTTTAGAGTGGGCAAATGATTTGAATAGACATTTCCCAAAGAAGGTATACAAATGGCTCATAAGCACATAAAAAAAGGCTTAAAGTCATTCATCAATAGGGAAATGTGAATCAGAACCACAATGACATGATACCACTTTATACCTCTGGGTTGGAATCCTTTTTCAATCAAAAATATGAAAAATGTTGGCAAAGATGTGGAGAAGTTAGAACCCTCATACAATGCTGATGAGAATGTAAAATGGTGCAACCACTTTGAAAAGCGGACTGTCAGCTCCTCAAAAGCTTAAGCATAGAGTTACTATATGACCCAGAAATTCAACTCCTAAGTATATACCCAAGAGAAGAACACATACGCAAACACAAAAACTTGTACAGAAAAGTTCACAGCAGCATGATTAATAGCCAAAACATGGCAACAACCCAAAGGTCCATCAACTGATAAATGGCTAAATAAAATGAGTGGCATGTCCATACAGTGGAACAATACTCAGCAGAAAGATGAAATTAAGTACTGATACACGTTACAACACAACGAACCTTTAAAATGTTACGCTAAGTAGACGAAGCCAGTCGCAAAAGACCACCACATATGGTGTGATCCAGTTGATATGCGGTGCCCAGAATGGGCTAATCTATGGAAACAAAATAGATTGCTGGTTCTTTTCAGGGTCATGAAAGTGTCCTACAATTGATGATGGCGATGGTTATGCAACTCTGTGACTATACTAAGAGACTATGAATTTGTACACGTTCAATGGGTAAACTGTGTGGTATAAGAATTTTGTCTCAGTAAAGTTTTTTTAAAAAATTCAGTGGTAGGATCTAGATACATCTCTGAATTCTCTACTTTGGATGTACATACTATAGGTGATTTGTAAAAAAGCACAATATATTTAAAATGAAAGGAAAATGAAGGAAGTGCCTAACATTTCAAATAGTTTTTAAATTAAAATATTTGCATTTTGGAGAACAGTACTGTGGCCTTTCTGTACAAGTTATCCTGAAATTCATGAAATAAATATACACAGATTCTGTACCCATTCACAAAAGTAAAGATAAGAAATAAGACAATTTCTGAAACATTCTGTTAAACATTATCCTATGATTTAATCTGGCTTACCTAACCATGGCAATAGAGAAGTCACTAAAAAATACTTCACAGAAAAAAAAAAAAAAAAAAAAGCCTCTCAACTTCTGTGAGGAATACTAATAATTCCCAGCTTTCCTAAGGATCTTTGGAAATGATCCTTATTTTCAAAATATATGTACTTATCAGGAGAAAAGGACAGAATGAAAGCCAGAGGTTAAGAAACAAGTGCATTATAAAGATAATAAAATTATAAAACAAATTATAATAAAAATACAAAAGAAAGCTATCCACTTCAGTTAGTATCCTAAAACATTTGACACTATTTCACCACCTATAGATTAACTGTAGACATGTTAGGTTTCATACATACTTCACTGCTGATTTGACCCGATTTCTTCTTTGAATCCTGTGTCTTATCTAAATTAAATGATGTAGCCTCTGCTGTAGGTTGTTGTTTTAGGGGATCAGTCCATTCTAGTTTGAGGTGTCTCATAACTACCTGTGAAAGTATTTTTGCTACTGATTTCATAAATCACCTTATTATTAAATTATGGTAATAAGATTTAACTCTAACATATACACTTTGAAAAACATCAACACATATATGGATGCACCTTTTCCTCATGTGCACACATTCTTGTTTATTACTGAATTCAGTTAAGGACACAGAAGGTGCTATCTTTCTGCCAAATCAGTTTTCTGTTAACTTAGACGATAGATTCAGCCCACTGTTCACTCATCCCTGAAACATCTGCAATGCTTAACATCCTACTGAAGTCTCAAAAAGAAATCCGTATGTGGTTGGGGCTGCTGGTGGTACATCCCACACTGTGACATGTTTTCCCTCTTTTTTATTAGAAGCTCCAATCAACTTCAGAGTTCCTTGCATATTCAGCTGCCTGCTCAGATCCTTCCAAAAGATTCCTATCTCAGAATACAAGTAAAATTCCAATGGCCTTTGAGGCCCTGGGTAACCTGGCCTTTACCTCCCTCCTGACCTCAGCTTCTACAAGGGTCTCCCCTACTCAGTTCATTCTCGCTATATGGGAATCCTGCCACCTCTCATTAGTTTAAAAATGGGGACTCAATGCCAAACAAATAAATCACGGATAAACCCAGTTACCTTTGTACTGGTCAAAGTTATATCCAAATGACAGGCAGTGAGCCTTGAAATGAAAATTATGAGCAAATTGTTTATAAAAACATTCAAAGTAAATTATAAATACCAGTGGTAAGATTAAATCTAACATAGCTTTGCTGAAATTCACATCTGCCCCAAATTATGATTTATGAAAAAGTAAATGCCTTTAAAGAATTGAGAGGTCATAACAAGTAATTTGAGACTGAAATCATCTCAGATTTAAGTCAAATTGATATGAATAAAAATAAAATTATACCAACTTAAATGCATTACAAAACTACTGAAGGAAAAGTATTGTGGAAATATACACTGAAGTATAGCAGTATACTTCAGTTCACCTGGAAAATCTGGAATTAATGGTCAAAGTAACCCTCCTAACTAAATCTTAATTTCAAAATACTCATGTCAGGTATAAGCATTTCTGTTTATCTGCTTCATCATGGTCTTCAAACATGGCCATATAAAGGCATTGCCATGATCATTTCAGCAGCATAAGACTACATTATGAATGTTAATCTGTACCTGTTAACACTGTAACTGAGCTTAAAATTTCATAGGTGACCTAATTTCTTTACTCAAAGTAAAGTATCTTTCAGTTTTAACAGCAAATACATTTATGATCTGTATATTTTTATATTCAGCTAGATAAAACATTTAGCCATAATCAAATATTACTTTAAATTTTCTTTTAGGAAGGTTGAAAAATATTTATCTTTCTTAACACTTACTTTTCTTCCTGGTTTCTCTTTCTCACATTGATCCATGCTTTTTTTAAAATAATTACATTTATCCAGCAATTCCTTGCTCTTCTCTTGTAGTGGAAGACTCTGCTTTTCACTCTCAGCTCGAAGATTTCTGGCAACAGCCTGAAACTGGTCATGGAGAGTACTGATTGTCTTTTCTTGTCTGTTCACTTTCTTGTGAGCATCATCCAGTTGCTGTCGAAGCAATGTATTTTCATTTTGTAGTTGAAATAATCTCTCCTCTACAGATTCCTGCTTTGCAATGGATTTCTTCAGTTTGCTTTGTTCAGTTTGGTACATTTGTTCAATTTCTTTCTTCTGACACTGTGTTTGGCTGAGGTCTCTTCGCACACCTTCCAAAGTCAAATTCTTTTCTTCAACAGCATCTGTTGTGTTATGGAGCTGAATCTGTAGGCTGTTGATTTTATTTTCAACATTAGAAAGTTTTTCAGAAAGAATCTCATTCGTAGCTTGTAGGTGGTCAGACATATCAGCCTTCATTTTGTCCTGTAAATCAATCCACTCTTGTCTTATTCTCTGGAAATGAAGGTTTAGGTCTCTTTGTGTCTGACTTTGATCACAATCACGAAGGGCAGCAGCCAGTCTACAATGGTATGATTCCATTTCTATTTCCAGTCTTTCTTGGTTTTGTTTTTCATTCTCCAGTTCAGAATTGAGTATTTTGTTCTCAGCTGCCAAATCGTTCAGTTGTCCACTGTACTGAACTATTGTTTTTGTTAATGTTTCCTCATTTAGTTTAATAATTTTTTGAAGGTTATCATTATTTTCTTTCACAACTTCAATGTCCTCAAAATATTTCTTCTCCTTTTGCTGATTCTGATTTGTTATTGTATCTATTTCCAGTCTCAGCAAGGCAATTTCTTCCTGCAACATGCAATTTTCATACAAGAGATCCTTTTCTTTCTTATGCGTATGAGAAATCTAAGTAAGAAAGGAAACATTTAGTAGCACTCAGTAAAATGACATATCGTGACTTCCTCTGAAATCAAATAACCTGTACATGTATACAATGAAAAGACTTCCATAAGTGGATATTCATCTGGAAAAAAATATTGGATTGAAACTTCAAACCTCATAGAGCTTAAATTCCTAAAACTTTATAAGTTTGCCTGAAGACAGTGAATTCATGAATGTAAAATATAAATGACTAGAGAATTTTAAGCATCTCAGAATTGGAAAAGACCTCCAAATTACAACCAATTCAAAGGCATAAAATAAAAGATTAATAAATTTGGCTACATTAAAAAAATGGGCTTTATGGCTGGGTGCAATGGCTCATGCCTGTAATCCCAGCACTTTGGGAGGTGAAGGCGGTGGATCATGAGGTCAGGAGTTCAAGACCAGTCTGGACAACATGGTGAAACCCCGTCTCTACTAATAATACAAAAATTAGCTGGGCATGGTGGTGGGTACCTGTAATCCCAGCTACTCAGGAGGCTGAGGCAGGAGAATCACTTGAACCTAGGAGACAGAGATTAGAGTGACCCAATATTGCCCCACTCCCCCCCCTGCGGGAAAAAAAAAAAAATTCTTTTAAAAAAAAAAAAAAAAAAAAAAAAATTGGCTTTACACTCTGACATCTAACCTATACACCACACCATAGTAAAAGCTATAGTTTTGCATGTATCTGGACATGAGGAGGAAAAGTGAAATGTATAAAAAGACATTAATTTAAAATAAATAATAAGCTTAAGACTAGGCCACAAAAACAGTTATAAAGAGCAGAGGAGCAAGTAAACTACCCCTCCCAGCCTAAATTGCCTGAAGTTAGCTAAAGGAGACCCAGCATAGCCTCCTCCTTCCAAGATAAGGCACCCGAGCATATCTGTGCACCCACAGCTCACAAGCATATTTCTGCAAAATAAAAAACAAAAAACCTGTTCTCTTCCCCAGCTACCAGCCGCGGGAGTGAGACAGCCATGGGAGCGAGATAACCGCATAGAAAATATACATATTCTCAAGGTTGTAAACTTGTCACAAGTCAATGACTAACTCTGTTTAAACCACTTTTTCTCCTGCCTTATCTTCCCATGCCAAAACTAATACAAGCAAGGAATTTTCCTTTGTGCGGGGCTGGCAGCCATTACAGGCAGTAAGGCCACTGTCAGCTGGAGCTCCAATAAAGAGGTTCTCTTGTGTCTCTTGGTCTCTCTCTTCCTCTTGGCTTGAATTTCCACAACAGACGGAGGAAATTTCCCAATGTTCCTTAAGTTCCTTTTTTTTCCTGAGAATATTCTGTAACTATTTTATTTTTCTACCATTTTTATTGTCAGTTATATAAGAATTACATTTATTCATAAATGCTAAATCTAAGCATTATATTAGTTGCTTTTTTTTTTTTTTTTTTTTTGGAGACAGGGTCTCACTCCATCACTCAGGTTAGAGGGCAGTGGCACAATCAAATCTCACTGCAGGCTTGGCCTCCTGGGCTCAGGTGATCCTCCCACTTCAGCCTCCTGAGTAGATGAAACTAGAGGCGCACATCCCCACACCCAGCTAAATTTATTTGTAATTTTTGTAGAGATAGGGTTTTGCCATGTTGCCCAGGCTCTTCTGGAGCTGCTAGGCTCAAGTGACCCACCCACCTCGGCCTCCCAAAGCGATGGGATTACAGGCGTGAGCCGCTGCACCTGGCCTTGTACCAAGCACTTCCACATACATCACTGAGCTCATTTATGTCATAATTCTGACAGGAGAGGTCAAAAAATATGCAAGCTGCAGGATTTTCCCCAGGTCCTCTTACTTTACTTCTAGTGCTCGTCCACCAAATCATGGTTACTTCTGTGTTGTAAATATGTAAATATAAAATAAGCTTTTTATTTCAAAACACCAGTGGTAAAAAAGAAGTTATAGAGCTTTTCTCTGAAAAATCATGAGATTATTTGCTATTGTAATAATTCTGTTTCCTCTTTACAGTGTTTGAAACAGAAATAAGCATGAAACGGGAAAATACACTGAAGTACTTTTCTAAGAACAAAACCGTTATCAACAAATCATCACTAAGTTTCTCTACGGCATATCATTGTTTTCAAAGCTCTTTGTGCTGAAATGAGATGCTACTTGGAGTAAACTGTTATGTCCCCAAAAGTAAGGGGTATGGCATCTGAAGTATGGCCTCTGAACTGGCTATACATTTCATCCTTACTACCAGTAGAAATAATAATCTAACCTCTCCATTAATATATTAGAAAGATGAAATCATGTCTGAAAGCTGGAATGTCTGTTGTTAGCAAGGGTTTT